AGAGAGAGAGAGAGAGAGAGAGAGAGAGAGAGAGAGAGAGAGAGAGAGAGAGAGAGAGAGAGAGAGAGAGAGGAGGGAGGTCGGGGGGGGGGGAAACAAACTTGAGATGACTCAAAAGTAAGGAAGAGAATTAAATAAACAATTTGTTGAGTGAATTAGCTTAGATTGACTGTGAAACTTGTTTAACAGCTTCAATGGAGGAAATTTTCATATGGGTTCTTCTTGAAACAGACTATTATGAAGGAAAGTAGTTTTATTGGAGAGAAACCAACACGGATCAACAGGAAAAAGAGATTTTCAGAGGAAATTAGAGAGAACTGTGGAGCGATGGAGATGAAAAGGAATCTTAACCACTGCAGTAGACTTGTGATGTATGAGGCTGGTGTAAAGTGGTGTCGCAAAAGAGAAGATATAGAAACATCGGGATCCAAGACATGGCTGTATGTGACTAATATATTATATAAATAACAAAACACTAAATTGACTCAATATTTAAGAAGAAAGCACCAATGCTTGGAAGTTAATTTGGTCTATAAAAGACCTAAGCCCTAATTCACAGCAATCCATGAGATAACTAAATTTTGTAAATATGTTAGCTGGGGGTGTTGGGGAGCTAGGGGACTTCGTCTGTGAAGTAACAGAGTAGAGAATGAGGGGTTCACGGGGTGAAGGAGGTGGCGGCAGCAGAGGTGGTAGGCTCGGTAGGGGCTTAGGAAACTTAATTTAAATCCCACTTGGTGGTTGTGGTGGTGGTGGTGGTGGTGGTGGTTGTGGTGGTGGTAGTGGTGGTGGAGGAGGAGGACAATTAGAGAGAGAGAGTGTGTGAATCGTAGAGAGAGGATGGATCTCCATGCTCAATAGGTAAGAGAGATACCAGCGGGCTTGTTGATGACGGATGGGGCAGGGGAGGTGGTGTAGGGAGAGAGTCGACCTTTTGGACAAAGAGAGCAGAGTGAGCCATGGGATAACTTGATTTCATTTTTGGACTAATTTATCCTTCTGTAAAAAGGAAGTACACTATTTGTAAATAAAAATGACAAAATATGGAGGGGATTCGTATCCCATTTTTCTAAACTAGAGTGGGTCTATAGGCTTTAGGTGGACAACAAGGGTTTTTGTGAAACATTAGTTCGAACATGAGGTTCACATCTTTTTCTTTTACTTTTTAACACACAATAAGCAAAACAATCTCTAACCCCATCACTTTCCTTTCTCAGCCGCCTTCTTGACCTGCATGGCATGCCTCTTCCCTTGGATGTGAAATATGTACACAGTCTTGCTGTTGCACACCGTCCCACAGAGCTTGCACTCCATCACCTCATCTGCTGCCGCTCCCCCCTCCATAATCTTCTTCTTCTTCGTATCAAGAGCCTCCTTAACCGCTGCCTTCATCCTCTTCCTCTTCTTCGCATTTCTAGACTCCACTTCTGGTTCCAGTTCCTCTTCTGGGTCTGTCTTTCGCTCTTTGTTTGTGGCATTGGCCATTTCCACTAGTTTATTGAGGTTCTTTAGGTGTTTCCTTCCTTTTTCGTGCTCAATGAGCACATCTTTACTGGTACAGTCGATCTTGCAAATGGCACACCAAACTGATTGGACCACCTTTGTTTTCTTAATTTTCTTGGGGAATTCTCTGTTGTAGAAGCCATAATTAGGCTCGTTCCATACAAAAGGGTTGGGGCCAGGCCCGTTTGGAAGTCTCAGAGCCTGCCAAAACAAGAGTAGATTTATGAATCTCCTCATATTTTTCATTGGATTTTTTCCTTATAAAAATAGAGTAATGGGAAAGTAAATGCAAGGACACAGTCTTGGCTTGCATGCTCTCTCTCTCTCTCTCTCTCTCTCTCTCTCTCTCTCAAGTTTTCTGGCCTACATAAAATTCCATCACAACTCCAAATGCACCCATGTTAATATAGCTAAGGTCTTTTTTTGAAATATTATTTTATCTAAGAAACATTACAGACCTTTCATTTTCTTTTTAGACTCAATTCAGTTTAGGTTGGTGTTCCTGTGTGCTAATAACTGCACCCATATGGCAAAGACCTGGTTTCTAAGGACAGAAATGGCTGTCCTCTAACTAAGGGCACGTTTGTTTTGTGAAACCTCCAAAAAGTTTGGAAGCCCCCTCTTCCCCCTGCTTCCATGGTTTACCATTGAAGTAGCAGCCTCCTAAAAACATCAGTTGTTTCAGGGCCACGGTAAGCGGCTTCCAAATTCGGGCTTCCATTGCCTCACAACAAATACATGTGTGCTACAGTTTGCAGAAGCTGCAGCTCCCACGAAACAAATGCGCACCAAATGCTGAAAGCTACAGTGAGACAGAATTTGGCACGCAAAAAATAGAGAATAAAGTCTCCTGCCTCTCAGATAAGGGAAATGGTTAAACCTCTTTGGCATAGTGGTAAATGCATGCAGCCAACAAGGTCAATGGGTTTGAAACCTGGCTCACCACCAGAAAGAAGAAAAGGTACATTTGTGGAACTCACAATGGATTTCATGATCAAAGACGCCATAAAAGAATCTACAGAAAATTGATTAAGTCTAATCTTCGAAAGCCCCATGTAACATGAGAATAATCGACAATTGGAATACAGATGTAGAAGTTGGGTAGGTGGACTCAATGGGGTAACTTATAACTTAGAACAGTTCAACGTTATTAGTGTGTACTTATAACGGAGAAGACAAGCATTGAGGTAATGGCTATATTCTAGAGAAGATTTATATTTAAATAAAACTGTATATCCTTGCGAAGATTGGTCGAGTATCTCTATACTAAAAATGTTCAATGATGCAAGTTTGTTAAAGAAACTATAAAAAGACAAAATAAAAATGTTCTAATAAAAAAGAGATTTTGTTTGGATGGGTGGCAGGATGTTTGGTCATTATAAGATAAACAAAATTCATTGAAACTATTCAAAAGATCAAATAAAGACCATCTGATTTTTGGACAACCAGATTTAGGTGTTTAAAAGCCCAAAATAAAAAATTTATTCTATGAACATAATCATCTGATAAATCTCAGGTGGATACTGAAATTTCATTCAAAAATGAAATAAAAAATCCTCCTAAGTAGGTCTTTCGCCACGCACTACAAAGACTGAACAATTCAGAAATCCGTATCAGGGAAAACAACAGTAGCATTTACCCAAAAAAAAGGGAAATAACAGTATCCTCTGTAATCCTAAAAGAACCTCGAGAATAACTCCATCAAGGAAATAATATCATTCATAAAGAACAACAGAGAGATTGAGATATCATCTATATCGTAATCAACAACAAGCAAAACCCAGAAAATAACAGCAGTGTAACCAACAAGAAGCCACACCACAAATCAGAAAGCTTATACAAAAGAAATGAAGAGGAGACAAAAGGAACATAACCCAGTTCCCAAATCCACTCCAATAACAATAAAAAACATAAAAGACAATCAAAACAGTAAAAGTAAGAAAGGGGGGTTGCTGGGGTTTTGTACTTACAGGTCCAGAAGCCAAAGGATCGACGCCAAACTCCTTAACATGATACTCCACATTTGGAGGCATTGCTACAGGTACTAAAGCCTGACCTTGAAAGCCAGGATGGGGGTTGTAAGGATTCATGGTGGATGGAGCCATTGGAGCATAAGGATCGATATGCGAAGGCCTCAAAGAGTAAGAAGAGTGAGGGTAATCAATGGATTGAGAAGGCAGTGGAGGTGGAGTTGAGTAATGGGGGCCATTGTGGGCTAATCCCAGAGGGGGTGGAACTACTGCATATTCATACGGTTGATGGATGTTGGGGTTAGGATAGGAAGAGTGGTGAGGGTGATAGGGCTGGTGAAGAGGTAAAGGATGAATTTGGTGAGGATGAGCAGGTGGTCCTCCTCTGTAATCCATGGGGAAACATGCAAGAGATGTGAGAGGGAGGAGAGTGTGTGTGTGTGAGGGGAAAGACAGATCAGCTGTGATCCAGGGGGAATAGACGAGGGTTAAAATATTTAATGCATTTTCTATGTGGCCTAAGCTTCATGAAAACAAAGTAAAGCCTCACCTCGAATCCCCATAAAAGCACTCTGGGTATGAGGATGGCTCTAAACTTGTTTTTCAACCCTATGAAATTTGAAAATCATAAAAATATAAGATTTATGGATTTGTGACTGCTTATTTTTAAAGTGAAATAGACGGTTTAAATAATGCGTTATAATATGTATTATTTTTAAAACTGAAAATCTTTGTTTTTTTCCATACATGAGGGTTTATTAATTAATCTATTATTTAGATGGATTTTTTTATTTATTTTTTAAAGATATGTAATCTCTAACAGAAATCATGAGTATGAACAAATAAATAAATTTTAAAAATTAAAAATAATAATTCTAATAAAAAAATATTTAGACGGATAGCTTTCATTGTGTTTAAAAAAGACACCAATTCAATGCTTTACCTTTTTTGGATAGCATATGTAGTCATGCTGTCCAATCACGCAAGAAACAATTTCCCTTTTGATAATTTGATAGGCTGCGTCTCTTGAAAACATTTTCGCAAGAAACTAAAAGACTTTATGCTCCGGTTGGAGCATATTATGTATTTACCCCCTCAAATAAAACCCAATTTAAGATTAAGTACAGGACCCCATATTTTGCATATATATCTTTTCGATCTTTTAGACTCATAGACTAATTTCAAAAAAAAAAAAATTTAAATAATACTCTTTGTGGGCTTAAAAGATAATGTTTCAAGATTGAATAAAGAATAATGATCCTATGAGGCCTTCCCACACTCATGTATGTAGGACTTCAAATGATCACCATTAAATTTGGCACAGATCTCTAAAAAACTCAAATCTCACACTTACATAATAACGTTTTTAGATATTTGTACCAAATTTAATGGTGATTCTTTAGGGTCCTACACACATGGGTGTGGGAGGATCTCTTAGGATTATTACCCTTGAATAAATGCCATCTAATTTTTTGACACTAAGATCGAAGTCCCAAAAAACTTAATATTGAATTTTTCTAAAAAATGATCATCTAGTTACTTTTAAGTATGAAGTTTTCAATTAAAAAAAAATCCTTTCAAGTAGGTCATACGGGGGAGTAGATGCATAGTATATGCTCTAGCAAGAGCATTGTATACTAGATTAAGACAAGGACAAGCAACTACTACAATTTCAGAATTTTCTAAATGAACTGTGCGCCAAGAACTGCACTGTATTTGGACGACATTTTCAGATTTTCATGCCACTTTAGAGAGAGAGAGAGAACAACAATAAATATTCCAGGGCATAGCTCTTACTATTTCAGTAAACTTGGTGAAGGTTTTTATGGTGTTTTACTTTTTTGATGCGTGGCTTAAATTAGTGTTGGAAACTAGAGGCGGCAACCGGTCGGGTATGGGTCAGGTCCGACTGGATATTGACCTAAACCCGAATGTATTTGGGTCCAGGTTTTGGACCCTGATCCAATCCGTCGGGTCCAAAAGTTGGACTCATACCCGTACCCGTCAGGTTATGGGTCTGATCGGGTCCATTACCACCCTTACTATGAGCTTTCTTTTTTGTAGTCTACAATGGTAAAAAACAAAAAATTGATTTTAAAAAAGTGCGCAATTAGAGAGAGAGACATTCAAGATCCAGAGAGAGACATATGTCTCCAAAAAACTGAGAGAGGAAGAATTGTACATAAGGAGGATGACGATGGGGTTTGGCCGTTTGGGGAACCAAGGGAAGACAAAAAGTATTGAAACGATTTTAAGTTTGAAGCTTTGGCCTTTGGGTAAACTAAAAATATAGTACCCGCCGAGTCGGGTATAGCATGACCTGTATGTGCACTCGGAACTATTCGGGTATCTTTTATTGGACCCGGACCTTACCCAACCCATACCTGGTTTGGTAACCCGGCGGGTATGGGTCGGGTCCGAGTCAATTGCCACCCCTATTGGAAACCACTACTTGGCCCGAGTACTCGACCCATGCCCGATCCGATATTCGGGTCAAGTCCGAGTAACTCAGCCCGAATAGTGTCAGGCATTGTAGCAACAAAAAAAGCAGTAATATAAAAAATACAAAAAAAAGAAGAAGGAAAGGTATGTTTTAAGTAAGGTTAAGCAAAATGCTTCAAGATGAGGGTAAAATAAGTAAAAAAAATTAGATTTTAAAAAATCAACTTGGTATTTTCGCAATAATTCAATAAAAATGGAAAATATATATATAAAAAAATATAATTAAAACACTCTCCAGTCATGAAAGAAAACATAAAAAAACATATCTCAAATAAATTTTTTATTTTTAAGATTTTTTATTTTTTTTAATATTTTTTATTAGTCCCGCACTCAACACGAGACAACTCGAATCGACCAGGACCGAGCCAACTAACTCGGCCGAGTTTTGTAACACAGGCTTAGAAGAATACTGTATCTGTATCATCGGGATCTCTGTAATTGATGCCTACGGGAAGAATATGTCTCCTATGGAGTGGAGAGGTGCTGCATTGATATTTGAGATATATTCAAAAGCTTATCCATGGTTCACATTCCCATGCCATCCTAGTGCGCTGCACATGGTTTACTTCCATTGGGACATGGCCCTTCAACAATTCATTGAAGTTTTAAGATGTCAAAAGATATTCTACTCCCTTGGGAGTATATTGTTTGTTTACTCCCTCAGGTAAAATTCCCCTAGGGATGGCAATGGGTCGGGTCCAGCTGAACGTCGACCCAGACTCAAATCCCTATGTATTTAGGTCTAGGTTTTAGACCCAGACCCGACCCGTCAAGTTCAAAAGTTGGACCCATACCCGTATCTGTAGGGTCTCAAGTCTGGTCAGGTCCATTGTCATCTTCACTATGAGCTTTTTTTTTCTTTTTTCTTTTTTTTGTCATTTCTTTACTATCATATTGTTGGGTTTATATGGCCTTTAAAGGTCTTATAATAACTTGTATAAGCATTTTATATAGTTGAACATAAACTTAGTAGAAGTGTGATCCTTTTGTGGATCATACTAGGAAAATGTTATTTGCTGATACTCGGACTAGACTCGACGAGCTAAGCCAGTCGAGATTTGGAAAAACTCAAAATACCTAGGCATAGGGATCTACCGAAAAGGGTTTAGTGGATTGTCCCTTAATGAGATCGGAGTATGCCTAGATGAGAGCCAAGGGATTGTGTGGCCCTTGCATGTAATGAATAGCCTTTAGAGACAGGGCTAAAACATCATCGTTATATTATCACACGACATGTACATAGATAGCCGTTTTGAGATTCACCAATGAAGGTGAAGTGTGTACATGTACGAGAGATTACTCCTATGTATCATAGAGTCATGGTTGCATCATGGCATGGAAAACCATGATTTTTTTTTCTAGAGGAGAACCTGAAATCCATAAACTGAGATTGCGTCCCTTAGTCTATTGGCTGACTTTGGTGGTCCAATCATGAACCCTTGCAATGGACTGTGGGTCATAGGAACTACTTGGTCAGTTTGAGAAAACTCGGCGGATCGTGACTCGCAGTTGAAGGTGGACTGCTCCCATATATATTGATAATTTTCTAGATCTAATGGATCTGTTTCCCATCAAAATTAATTAATTTTATGTTATGTGATTTGTAGAATGTTTATTTGAATTTTTGTGAATCTTATGATATTTTATTTTTGTCATTTTGATTTATAAATTAAGAGAAATTAAATTTTCAAAGTTTTAAATAAAATATAAGATTTAAAAATTCTAAAAATGAAATAAAATATTTTCTAAAAATATATGGGACTTCCATAATGGGGCCCAAAATTTAAAAAACATGTGGATTAGGTAGGGTCGCCATCAAAAGAGGCACGCCCCACCCATTAACATTCTTGGGAATAACGTTTATCCTCTTGGTTGATTTATCTTTTTAGGTATAATCAACTTATATCATAAGGATAAATATTTGAGATATTTACTAAATTTTTGATTCAAGATTGGTTGATCTAATAATTAAAAATTTGATATATTAAAATATAAGTTTTCCTTACTTGATGGGAATAGATTTAAGAAATGGAGGATAAGGCTAGCTCATCTATTTCAAAGAGATGGATGGCTCAAATCTCTCACCCCACAAGTCTCCTTATATCGACGGTTGAGATTTGACCCTACGAATTGAGGCAAAATCTACAGCATAAAAAATCTATAAAATGAGGTCTATTTCATAAAATCAGATACGTATTGGATTACCAAAGGGAGGCACACCCCAATTTTTATCTCTCTCCAAGTTGCATAATGTTTTGGTGGCACGCATCACCTATGTTCTTTATGGGTGGCAAAGGGGTGGAACCCCTTGCTAGTAGATCTCTCTCTCTTCATATCCATTTTTCATCTTTTTAAAATTAAGCTAAGAAGCTTTATCAAGATTAGGTCATTAAGTGGATTTTTGCCATAGTAGGGAAATCAACATACCGATCATAGATCCCAAGCACCATCAGAAGGAAGAGGTTCGGCGTGAGGTGTACTGAGCCCGATTGAGGTAATATCCGGCAATTTTACCTTTTAAAATATTTACTTCTCTTCCTATAAAGCAATAAAGTTTAGTTTTTTTTCTTGAATAAATAATTATATTTGAATACGTGACAATTGAGAACCTATTTTATTTTTATTTTATTTATTTCAAGAGTGGTTCGATTATAATTGGACATTTATAAGTGATCTTGCCGGTGTAAGGGTAAATAATTTTTTTTTATATCAACAACGTGATTTATCATAAAGTCCTTTCATTGGTATCAGAGCAACGTTGATAATTGAAGTCATTAGATGTCTTTTCCCTTTATTGAGTTGAGATCAAGCTTAGAAATGAGATCTAAGAAAGCTACTAATCTTTGTGGTCAAGTAATAAACCCCGGTTAAGAATTATTAAAATATATTCAAAACACCGAGAAAGGCACTTTAAAGAATTGATATTATGTGCTATTTTGGAGCAGTTATATAAATAAGATAATGATGTATTTTTCTATTGCATACTTCAGTGATTTTGTATGTCTTTGAAAGTAGGATATACCTACAAAATTTCAGT